TTATGTCTTTATAATTATGCTGCTACATTTCATTGATTATATGCTAGCTAATTTGCTTGAGGACAAGCAATGACTCAGGTGTAGGGGAGTTTGATAACGCGTAGATACATAGTGTATTTTGACTTGACTCGCATGCATTATTAGTATAATTTTCTTTTGTTTTGGTAATATTATGTCAGTATTATTTGTGTGATTCAGATATTTAAGTCTCAAGACTCTTCGTGCGAGGAATCAGTGTGAAAGGACGATATCTGGAAGAAAAATAGTAAAAAATATTATTCTCACAGACTGTTGGTCAGCAAGTCAGAAAAGTCAAGTCTTGCTTGGCTGACGGTTAAATCATCATCCAGCTGGCGACCGTCAGCAAAAGTACATAGCACCCAATCTTTCATTTTTACTGATTTTTCTCCCACTTTGAGCAGAACTCTCCATCAGTTGTTGCACGACTTTGAAGCAGTTTTACCATTTTTTGGACTCTATAAATAGGATTTCATTTGTTCAACTTTGTATCCAAGTTTCCAGAGTTTATATTTTAAGCAAAAAATTATTTTTGTAAAAGTGTTTATTGCTCACATCGAGTGATAAGTGCACCTTAGACTAGGAATTTGGAGAGTTGTTTCTTGTATTCGAACTGTTCGCTATTTAAGCTTGCTTGCATAATTTTTCCAGAAATTACTCTCTTTGTACCGGATAAAGACTCCATTGGAACAAGTTATTATTATATTAGTTTTTAGTAATTCATTTTTATAATTCTTACTGTTTAGTTTTATGTTTATTATTATTGTTCATTCGTGTTTATATATATGTGTGTGTGTGTGTGTGTGTACGCGCGCACGCGCGTGTGCGTGTGCGTGTGCGTGTGTGTGTGTGTGTGCGTGTGCGTGTGCGTGTGCGTGTGCGTGTGCGTGTGCGTGTGTGTGTGTGTGTGTGTAATATGTAATATGTTTAGTAACTTTATTGAATTGATAAACAATATGTTGTTTATTTCAACTATGTATGGCTAAACCTTTAAAGTCAGGAATATGAGGACAGTCGTTCGACGGGACTTGGTAAAATTAATAGAGGCTAATTATTAATATTAATTCTCCTTTTTGATTCTAAGTTTTATTTTTAAAAGGTCAAAAAGCTTTGCGCGACAGCGAAATCACCTAGATACCAGTTAATAGCGCGACTGTGTGAGACCGGTATCAGATCCTAAAGTTTGGATTTTTAATTTCTAAAAATAGCGACAACACTTTAGTTATTACTTAGGACTTATTTATTTTCAAAACTTATTTCGAAATTATGATTTGTGGAGCGACAACATGACTTTCACGGTTTCGAAGCATGACACGGGTTGTGCGAGAATGAGCTGTGTATTTAAATTCGTAATTCTTCTAAAATTATTTTAAACGTAGTAAAAGCGCCTAAATTTATCTGAGTTTCAGAGGTACACCAGAAATTACATTTTGGTCTTGTTTATTTAATATTCACTAAATCAACTAGTTTTAATTTCAATTTTTAGCACCCTCATATTTTAGAATCATAACCTTAGATTTACATAGCATCGATAAATAACGATAAAGTTGATTATTGGTCCTCGTGGGTTCGAAATCTGTAAAACTACGATTAATTCCGTGCATTTGCGGAATAGCCCCATCAAAGCCTATCATCTAACATCTCCATTTGTTGTGTTTTATATCTTAGATTTTTTATTGCCTTATTGTTTTTTTGTCGAACATTATAAACTTGTTTAATATTTACAACACCATCATTTTTTTTTCGTTTCAAAGTTGTGAGTATGTTTTTGTGTTAAACCATGTTCATTGTCATCTCGTTAACAATTTTATTCTCAACACAATTTAAGTCACTTACAATAGGATGACCAACTAACTTGTGATACAATTCATGGTTATGTACACTGCACACTATATTAAATTTTCAAACTTTGTTCTCTATTCAATATCTACACAACTTAAAAGGACGTATATATTTCTTGTTATAATGTCATCACATTTTAACTTTTGGAGATGTTCTTTACACTCACAATTTCTTTCACATTTTATTGTAGCAAATGTCTATCTTCTATCAGAATCAAATCTCTCAATAATTTATTCAAAACCTAATTTAGAAGCTTTCGCACAGACCCAATTAAATATATGATCATGTAACATAAAATATTATTTACTGTTAAATTCTTTCCAAACATTAACGTTTACAACATCGGGTTAGGGAACTCCATGCACACCATCATTTTGTGCATTAGTTAGGTTAACAACATTAGGGTGCACTATAAACAGGGTCGGCTCTAGGGGTAGGCCACCAAGGCTATCTGCTTAGGGCCTCATTTTTTTATGTCTATATAATTCTAATATACTAACTTTTTTTATTAAAAAAATAAATTTTAAATTATTTTATATATTAATTAAATAATAACATCTTTTAAAAAATCATAATAATAACAACCATTTAGGATGTGTTTGGTATAATTGATTAGTTTAAAAATTAATATTGTTTTAAGTTTTTGGAGGTTGTTTGTGTAGATTTACCATAACTTAACTGCGGAAAATAAATAGGAGTTCTATTTTGTTATTGTTTAATCATAATCGTTATTTTTAAGTTTTTTTAGCCACAACTTAACTATGAAAATTTTTAGACCATGTGTGATAGTCTGTTTTACACGTTCTCAATGACGACTAGGTTTAAATTTATATTTATAAATAATAAACTATTAAGTTCTCTTACATAAAAGACTATTTGAAATTTAAGTTTTTTAAAAGAGCTTTGGTAATATTTTTTCAATTATGATTTTTTTAAATGATGACAAGAGTGTTTAGATGTATTGATTTTTATAATCAAGTAAAAAGAAAATATTAAATAAAATTGATTAGAATAATTTAATGATTTTATATTTTAAAAACTTAAAATTAAAATATATTAATTTAAAATATTTTTTTTATCATATTAAAATATCTAATTTAAAGTTTCTCCTCAGGCTTTAAAATGTGTTGGGTCGGTCCTGACCATAAATGCAATCACTAAAAGTGAACATATTCAAATAACTATTTCACAAGTTTCGAAGTTATCATCCGAAAAAATGTTCTAAAAGTTATCTTTCGAACGACCTCCTTAAAAAAAAAATAGTTTATGAATAATTAGAAAGTGATCCATATGTACATTGCTTGTAATTTATTATGATTATGAGGTTTATGATGTGGAAATATAGATTGATTGTGTTACCAAACACAATAATTGAATAAAAAAGGAGAGGGTATAAAAATATATGAAATAAAGTGAATAGGTTTAAGAATTCATCATATACAAAACGTTGTCATATGAAAGTTATCTTCCAAAATTTGTTAGTTGATATTCATAAGTTATTTTTTAGATTGATAAAATTCTTAATCTTTTCTATGTTCCAAAATTAACAAAGCAAAATAATTAATTAGAATGTGTCAGAAAGATATATTTTGAGCATAGTAAAAAAGTTTTTATATTTTCATATAATTTGTGATAAATATATAGAGTGTAATAAACAACATCTAAATTAAATTATTTCATTCATTTTAGAAATTGTTATCCTAACATAAGAGGTGGAAAACTTAAGGAAATTTAAAAATGCCTTTCAAATTTTAAAGATGCATTTTCGAACGTACGTTTTTTTCATTACGGCCTAACTGAGTCTCACCTTGTATTTTCTCCAAAATTTAGTCTGAAGATGTATCTCTAAATTCACCTTATACACACCTCATGCATTTCTGACTGAAACACCTCATTTTAAAATAAATTGATTCGGAAATGCATCTTCGTAAACACCCCAGATAGAATACAGAGATGCATATTTGTATTCACACCAGACAGTAAATTTTGATTTTGTTTTAGAGATACACTGATGTAATAGACAATATGTTATAACTATATAATCATATTAAATTTTATATAAATTAAACTACACACTTATTGAATAATATGAAAATGCCATATATAAATGAATAAATATGGAATACAATATGAAGTCAAAATAAAATACAAACGATAATAGTGTTCCTAATAAAAATACTATACGCTATTGAGTATGTCGGACTCGAACCCCCTGTTCCTATGATGCCTCCCATAATGCAGTGTCTTTTATGCCTCGTCCATGATGACATTCAGAATGTCCCTCGCCTCATACCCTTCCAAAAAGACTTATCTGTCTATACCCATATGCGTCATATCCATGATACGTCGACATCTAGGACCCACATCAACAACATGATCTACCATAATCTACTCATCTGCTAGTATCTCTCGATGAATTGACTTAAGTGGATTACCTAAAGCTTCTGGTGTCATATAAGAATGTGAGACCCTGAAATACCATTGAATTTAGCCTTATGCAGCACTCCAGATGCTAAAAGCTAGGTTACCACGTACGTCATCTGATACCAGATAACTAAGATAATCATTATACATGACACTCAAATCTCTGTGTGTCATAGCGTTCGGAGATACATCTCGTAAGTTACACACAAATTAATTTTAATAACTAAGATAATCATTATACATGACACTCAAATCTCTGTGTGTCATAGCGTTCGGAGATACATCTCGTAAGTTACACACAAATTAATTTTAATAATTTTTTTTGACATAATCTTAGAGACCGACTAAAAAATAAATGTGAGTGAGATGGAGTGCTTTCAAAAGATGCATTTCTAAATTTTAAAAATAGTTTTAATTTTCCACTACAGCAAAATAGCAATACTGTAAATAAACAATCCCCTTCATTTATCTCCAAAACTCAACCTGCACTTTTGGGCCCCGGAGAGAATTGGTCGAGGATGGTTCCTAGGAAGAGCCCAATAACTTCGAAATTGGAAATTACAACGAAACCCCCAACTCCTCGAGTAATAAAGATCACAACAACGCTCTTCAAAATTCCTATTCTCCCTTTTCGTCGCTATTTCTATCTGTGACTCAGAAACAAAATTCCCAAATTTTGTTAAAGAAAAAGAAAAACCCTAGTGTGATAATCAACCATGGGTAACACAGAAAAGCTTCTGAACCAAATCATGGAATTGAAATTCACCTCGAAATCGCTTCAACGTCAAGCAAGAAAGTGCGAAAAGGAAGAGAAATCGGAGAAACTCAAAGTAAAGAAAGCAATCGAAAAAGGAAACATGGACGGTGCACGGATCTACGCTGAAAACGCGATCAGGAAACGAACAGAGCAGATGAACTACCTCCGATTATCCTCCCGATTGGACGCCGTTAGTGCTCGTCTCGATACTCAGGCGAAGATGTCGACGATCAGCAAATCGATGGGAAACATCGTGAAGTCGTTGGAATCTTCTCTCGCAACCGGAAACCTACAGAAGATGTCGGAGACGATGGATCAGTTCGAGAAACAGTTTGTGAACATGGAGGTGCAAGCGGAGTTTATGGAAAGCGCTATGGCTGGATCCACCTCGCTTTCTACGCCGGAAGGTGAGGTTAACAGTTTGATGCAACAGGTTGCTGATGATTATGGCCTTGAGGTGTCCGTTGGGCTTCCTCAGCCAGCTGCTCATGCTGTTCCGCTTAAGGAGAAGGATGCTGAGAAGGTTGATGAGGATGATTTGTCGAGGCGGCTTGCGGAGCTTAAAGCTAGAGGTTAATGTTCCTCTCGTTTTCTCATTGAAGAATAATGAGTCACTCTGGTTATATAATATTTGTTATTACGTTGCTATTTTATGCTTTTAAAGGAGTGGTTTTTGTGTATATTTAACTGAATTTGGATGTTTAGCTTTAACATTAAGCAGTATTGGTATGTTTATGTGTTCACTATGTTTATAATTGATTGTTTGTTTTCATCCTTATGGTTAGTGTTTGTCTTTACTTTGGTAGTATTGAAATGCTATGTAGAATAGAATGCTTGCAGTTTTCTTTTGTTGTATCTTGGAATATAATTAGCAACTACTAACTCGTGTTGATAAGGGAGAACGAGTGAAGTTGTGGAAAGCTATGAAAAGAGAATGCCTAGATTGGTTAGGTTATGTATCTGTGAAGCTTATGCCAATGTAATGATTTTAATTAGAAACAGCCCTTAATTGAGGTTAACCATTCTTTTGATCTTTCTTTAAGTAGTGGAATTTCACATAATAGCCTGTTCTCTATTAGTTTTGCTGCGAAGGCGGCAAAGATTCTTAGAATTTTGGGGTCAAAATTGATGCAGTTATGCAGTTATATTGTTCTGATCAATCCATTGGAGCTAGGGGCAATCATGCAATTCAATTATTATGTTTGTCTAGTGTTTTTCCAGCCTTATGTAATAGGGATTTGGATTTTGGAAAATAAAGCTTACGGTGCATTTATTCTGTGGGTTTTATCCATTGTTGCCGTAGTTGAGACCATTCCATGAGTGTTTCAATGGTGCTCGAAGATCTCCTTGCTATGAATTTCTCAACAGTTTAATTTGGTGTTGTTTTCGTAATAGTCTTAATTACAATGATTATAAACATAGAAGTTGAATTTCAATGATTTATAAAGAGACTTGGTTTGAGTTTAAAATCCAGGGAAATACTTATACTTAAATATTCAACAAATTAGGAAGGTCTTAAAGGCTTCACTATTAAGTAACTGACCTCGCTATTCCTTTGATTATTGAGCCTATGCATAACATCTTATATAGAGCTAAGGGATGTAGAATTGGGTTTATAACTGGAAGGATACAAATGCATCACCTTCAATGCAGATATATAAGATCCCCTTGATTGCCATATGAGTGGCGTTTACAGTTTTGAGAAAGTAAATAGTATATGCCTTTTGGATTTCGAAGTGCATAGCAATTCTTTTTGCTCTGAGGAAAGCTTCTCACAGTTCTGAACATTATTTGGGGAGTTTCAGATATGAGCTTTATGGTTAAGTTTTTTTTCTTGTGTCTGAGTGTGTGTCTCGCCTAAATTATTGAGTTTTTTCATTAGTTGAAACAATGCCTGTGGGGAAACCTCTTGAGGTATTGTTCTAATAGAGTCTAAGTTATTGAAACAAAGCTGGTTTCAGAAGAATTTTGGGTAGAACAGTGCTTTATTTAACCCGTTAAAAACTTTCATTTAGATAACATAAACTATTAGTCTATTTGTTTCCTACAATTTCTGTAATCCTGATTATATATATAAAAAGAATTTGACAATCAAAATTTGTTTCAGGTATTTTTTGCTCTTGTTGAAATTTCTTTTGAATATCAAAACTTTAAAGAATCATTTAATTTCAAAGTTATTTTAAATAGTTTTTCATAAAAATTATTTTTGAGATATAATTTTTTTTTAAATTATGATTTTAACTCTGTTTTGATTTTTAATATTTAATAGTGTATGTTTATATTATAGGGTTTTGAATTTAGTGTTTCAATTTAGAAAAAACAAATATAAAAGACCTATATTTTGAAAGATGTTTTTACAAAAATTATTTTTAAAAATACAAAGAAAAAAATATTTTTTAAAGCTAAAACAAATATGCCTTAGGGTTGACAGTTGTTTAATTTGATTTATAGATTGAAATAAAATCTTTTTTTAGTAGTTTAATAGTTGAAGTTTATCTTATTAAGATTAACTGAGATGTTGCGGGATTGGATTTCAAAATTGGTTCCGATTACATAAATGGAAATTTTATAATAAACAAGTCACATAATTCAAGCTATTTGAAAGAAAAAAAGTTATCTCATAAACATGATTTATATAAATGGAAATTTTATAATAAATAAAGTTATCTCATAAACATGATTTATATAAATGGAAATTTTATAATAAATAAGTCATATAATTCTAGCTATTTGAAAGAAAAAAAGTTATCTCATAAACATGTTCACCGCCACGATTGCATCCCACATTTCACTACCAATCTTTTTCTATAAAATTCTTGAACGACGTGGATTGAAACAACAGAGCAATAAATCATGCATATCTCTCGTGGAGATCTCGTGATCATAATCTCCAATTGTGGTTACCGTCCATGTTATCAAGCCTAATATTGTCTCAAGTTCATGGTTTGTCTCATGCTCATTAGCTATGGGACTGATTATTCACTTATTTTTAGAAACTTACATCTGCGAAAGCACGTCATCTTCGTTTTGAACTTTGTGCAAACAAGTTTGAAGATGCCAAGCTAAAAGTTAATTGCTTTCAAATACGCAAAATTGTGGATGTTTTGGTATCAATTGGAGATATAGTTCTTGTGAGTCATCACTTTGATGTGATTTTAAAAGGATTATCTTCAGATTATGTGAACTAATTGCTTCAATTGAAAGTAAGTATGACATTCTTAATCTTGATGAGGTTGAATTTTTTCCTTTGTACATAAATTGTGTCTTGAAAAATACAAGACACATTGACTGAGATTGCATTTCTCAATCTCACATGCTCACACCAAATCCACTAATGATGACATGTCACCTTCATTACCCAAGGACTCCCCTCATTAGCACTCACCTAAACCAAATTACAATTCTTTTAGAGGTAGATTACAATTCTTTTAGAGGTAGAGGTTCATGTGGTGGCCATGAAAATCGGAGGAGGTCGCAAATGTTTAGTGTCAATGTAGTCGTTAATGGAGTTGACTTAGTTTACGATCAGTCGAATATAGTATAAATATCATTTGTGGTATTTAGTATAACGATCAATCGTAATAATTTTTCAAATCAAGAGAAATTTAAAAAATTCTCCAAAGAGAATACAATAATTATCATCTTACAACTAAAAATGATTTCTCAAACAAAGAAAATTTTAAATAATTCTCTAAAGAGAATCTAAAAATTATACTTGATAATTTCTCAACTCAATCGAGGAGAAATTAACATAATTCTCTAAAGAGAATTCAAGAAAATACTCGGAAAATCAACGAGTAAAAAGAAAAAACTCAAAAGACGCAGAGTTACGAGAGTGGAGAAGAAAAAACTCAAAATAAGTTGTTGGTGTATTTTGGAATGAAATAGAGAATTTTCTTATATAATGAAGTGAAGAACGAAATATATCTCAGTGAGATTATTGAGTTTTTTTTAACTTAAATACAATGTGAGATTTAACTTAAAGAACTTTTTCAAATTCATCTCTCTATATTATAATATTGACATAATGTTCTAACAGCAACAAACTACTATATATGAAGTTTATGATTAGATCCACATAGGAAATGGTCTAGGTTTGATTATAAACTTTATTAATTTCAGTTCTTTTTCCTTTCCGACACAATCATAGATGTGAAAGGTTTTCTTTAAAGAAAACTTTCAAAAAAAATAAAATATTAGAAGATTAATTTTTTTAGAATATGAATATATAAAATATAATAAATTAATGATATTTAAATAATTTTTACTCCTTTCGTTCCGCAGTGAGTGACTCAGTTAATCATATCACACAGATTAAAAAAAGTAATAAATGAAAGAGAGTGAATGATAATTTTACTAAATTATCCTTATCATTAATTGAGAATGATGAAAATAATATTAATTAGATGGTAAAGTTGAAAAAAGTACATTGAAAATTGAAATGGATCACTCATTATGGAATAGGAAGAATATAATTTATTAACGAATACAAACATCTGCGGACACGAATATCATTAAAATGCATTTGTATTCGTTAAAAACAGACATTTAAATATTCATTAATTTTATCGACAAATATTCACTAAGTTACCCGCCCCTGTACTCATGATTACTTTTATTCATGAATGCCCGCATGTATGAGTTTTTTCGTCATCTCTAATTTATAAATCATACTTAATTACAAACAACCTACTCTTAAATTTCCTTCATACCAGATGATTTCATTGCCTTACAACTTATGGAGACTTCTTTGCCTCGCCCAACATGACTTCCTTGCCTCCTACAACTTGGATACAATTGTTTTAATTTTCATCTAAAAGAATAATGAATAAACAAGCACCTATGTTTTGGTGTTTCATTCTTTTCTAATATGATAATGTTTTGTAAAACTTAAACAATTTAAAACATTTTAGTGACACAATAATAGTACGGTTCTTAATTATGGTAATGTGCAACCTTCAATATTTGAAGTTAACCTTTATATAGGACTTGGAAATTCTTAATTGTCATGTTAAATACTTCTTCAATCATTTGAAAGTTGTGAATGGAATCTTTGAATTATATTACATGAACAAACACTTATCCATGCATCATTTGTACTAATCCATATCATTTTGTTCCTTGTACATACACAGTTGTTATGATGTATTCGTTGAGAATATTGCTATGGTTACACAACATATTAGGTCTTCATTATTTGAGCACGGGTGATCACTTGTTTCTTTAGGCACAAATGGTCATTTTTCCCTTGAGGTATAAACGATTGTGTTAGCTCAATACATATGGGTGCAAATAATCATTTAGATTTGAGATTTAGGTAATCAAGCTTGTTGACTCTAATACAAATTATCATTTTAACTAGAGACAATCATGGCTTTATTTCCTGTATATTATTGTAACTTGTTGTGCACGTGAAAACAAACATATTAGCCTGTCAATTGTTCTTAATTACATTTTTATCATCGAAACTATACAAATAGAGGTTATTGTTCATCAAATCATATTTGGTTCAACAAAAGGAAGCAGAAGGATGGTATTCATCTCAAGTAAGTAGAAGGCCATGTTAATGTTTTCCCTTATATACCTACACTATCAGAAAAATACGATTGAAATGCAAGTTAAGGAGATATTAAATCAAGAATGATTCATCCTATTCAAAGTGTGAGGGTACCTGCAAAGAAGAAAGGTGGAACATGTCGGATATGTGTCGACTATGGTTTAAATAAGGTAACCATTATGAATAATTTCCCATTTATAGTGATTGATGAACTCTTAGCAAAATCTGGCTCACAATATTTTCTTAAAATAAATATTAAGCCAAGATACCATCAAGTAAAGGTGAAGAGATGAGATATTCACAAGACTGGATTTCATACTCATGAAATTCACTATGAGCACCTTGTAATGCCCTTTGGGCTGATGAATGCACATTCAACCTTTCAAACTCTTGTGAATGACATTTTTAGAAGTTTCCTAAGGAAATGTGTGTTGGTATTTTTTCTGTGTTTGTTGATAGGATGTCCAAATACTGTCATTTTATTCCTCTCAACCTGCCTTTTAATGCACATTTGTTGGTAAAAATTTTCACATTCCAGGACATTCTTTTTTCTGTTGTGAGTGACTGATCCAATTTTTATTGGTAATTTCTAGTGAGTTCTTCAAGTTGTATAGAACTCCATTAAAAATAACCACAGTTTATCATCCACAAACAGATGATCAATCAGAGGTTGATAATAGATCAAACAGCAGTTGGTAATAGGTTTCTAAAAGCAGTTGTGTGTTGTTTCGTAGCATATCAACAGCGTGCCTCGTCAAATTTCTGCGTGGAGGCCAAGGAAGAGCAGTACAATGCAAATTATTGGATTAAGATGAAGCATTTCAACAATAGAAGTATCATCTAAAGATAGCTCACATTAGGAAATCAAGCAAACATAAAAGTTCTCTTTAAGGGAATGGATAGACCTCAGATAGAGATGTGCAAAGTTGGTTGATCCACACTAGAAGACTTAAGGACATGCAGGGACAGTGTTGCACGTTTGTTCTACGTTTGTGTATCAAGAGCAGTGTTCCACCTGTTGTAAGTTTGTGTATCAAGGGAGCAGTGTTCCAACTGTTTCTTCTCAAACGGTTTTTACATATTTCATAACATCCACTTCTACATAACATTTCTCTTTACAATCCTATCATCTGATAACAATCATATATTAAAATCTAGGGGCTTATCTAGATTCAATTAAGAGAGGAGACTGCTGGCCTTTTTTGAAAACTACCATCATATTTTGGCAATAGTAGCAGTTCAAAATCCCTCCACCTTTTTGAGATAAAAACTAAAGACAGTATAATAACATAGTATTGGTCTTATATTTAAAAACACAATAAAAATAATGTGCCAGACAGAAATCCAAAACTCCCAAACCAGTTCTAGAAAGAAAAAAAACTACAAAAAGGTTGACACAATTCATGAAAATGTAACATGCAATTAAACTCTCTTCTCAATCTAATTCAATCAAGCATGTCTGTTCCTCTTCTTTGCACCAGACTTTGCAACTTTGAGGCTTCTGTTAACAACACTCAACCTTGCAAGAGCAGCCTTCTTGAGATCTGGTCTGTAGTAGTTATCTGCCACCTGTATAACATCAAGAACAACACAAGAAATTAGCATCATAACTTTAGGCAAATTAAGTTTGGGAGTTTCATTAAATAAAGGTGAGGCATACATGCATACATAACCAAGATTCAAATTGAGATGACAACTCAGAAACAGTTTATAAATAAAACCAAATATTATTCTAAAATAGTTTATTGGGCATTATTGGGTGAGTTAGTTAAATGTAAATAACATAAAGTAAGAGATCAAGGAAAGAACATTAGAATAACCAATTCTCAGAAGCCAAGCGTAACAAGCAAATTTCATTGAAGAACCCCACAAAGGGATTCTTCTTACGTGTTAAACAGCTCATCACAGATGGAAACATTCAGCATATTGTTCAAAAGAATTCAGTTTACACAGAAAATATACAAAAGAAACAAATATGGAGAACAATTGCCTTGGACAAGTCTGCTATACTCAACTAACATAACCTATAAAAAGATTAAAAGGTTGCAGTAACAAAATACCATTGATGATCAAAGCTCAGAAGCCAAGCGTAACAAGTAAATTTCATTGGAGAAACCCACTTAGGGATTCTACTTATATGTTAACGGCTCATCACAGCTGAGGAACACCCAGTAAAACATGGAGAAGTTCAAAATAATAAAACATATTATTTGCAATGTGAAATTAGGAAGAATGGATCAACTAATAAAAGAGGCCAGCTGTCCACAATAAACAAAATAATGACAGGTTATATACTTATTGATGAAAGCTCAGAAGCCAAGCGTAACAAGTAAATTTCATGGAAGAAACCCACATAGGGATTCTACTTATATGTTAGAGGCTCATCACAGCTGGGGAACACTCACTGTTACCGACTGAATTTCAAAATGACAACAGATTATTGGCAACATTCAAATAGGAAGAAGATAACAAATGAAAACCGAATGGAAGCCGGCTTCCCCCACAAAGAACAAAATACAGCAGGGATAGAAGGGTTAAATTTATAAAAAATTGTCATGAACTATTAGAAGGTTAGAAAACTCAGAAGCCAATTTCATCAACAAAACACATTGGGATTCTTCTTACATGTTAAGATCTTATCAGCGCTGAGGAACACTCATTTGCACAGGTTCAAAATGGTTGCAATTGCAATTAAACAAAGATTAAACAAAGAGGTCAAAAGTTTAACTCTAGTCAAAGCTCAGAAGCCAAGCGTAACAATTGGATTTCATTGAAGAAACCCACCTAGGGCTTCTTCTTACGTGTTAAACGGCTCATCACTGCTGAAACATACTCACTCATACATTTACAGGATTATCACTGTTGAATACAAATAAGCACCAATTAATTCAACAGTGCTCAACAACTATCTAGTTAGTGAAAGAATTTATTGGAAATTTTGCCAGCAATACACAAACAGCTATCACAACAATATTGTGAAACACAAGTAAACCATCACAATTGTCAAACCATTCCATAAAATATTTATTAATATGATTAACAAAGTTTATCACAAATTACCTGATTTTGAACAGCCTTTGCCATCCTCCTAAACTCCTTCTTCATCACAGATTTGTGAAGCAAAGCGGAAGGCTTGTTCTGCTTCCTTGGCTTGGTGGTGGCCAACAACACAGACTGATCTTTGCCAGCTGGCTGAATAGTAACAGTTTTCTTATTGGCCAAACCTATCACAGAAACACAAACTAAGATCCACGCCCAGAAATCACACATAATGTAAACATTATTAAAAACACGATCTAAATACTAATATCACTGAATCCAAATAAAATTACATTTATTCCATAACAATCAAAGGAGGTAAAACCATATTGATAAAAAGGTTTTTTTATACTAACCGGAGTACTTGAAGGAGTTGAGGTTGTAGAGATTGTTTGGCTCTCTGCTAAACTGAACACTCTGAGTGTTGTTACCGAACTCCTTAACCAAGAAAGAGTTGTTCCTCTTCACAATCTCCCAAACAAGAGGTCCAGGTACTGTTGCCATCTTCTTCTTCTTCTACCTGAAAAATACAAATCGGTAATAAAGAAGAATCCTAATAACACGTACACTACGAAATGTTAATCGAACCTTTGGCTGTTGCTGAGAGAAATGAGATTTGAGTTTGAGAAGAAGAGAAAGCCGCAAAGCAATATATGTAGAGAGAAAGATGGGATCTAAAACCCTAACTCAGCTTTGTAGTTAGACTGAAGATGTTGTTGGGTTGAAATGTCTATGGCCCATTAGCCCAACAGAGGCCCAAAATGAATTTATAGCTAAAATGTAATTAAAATGTTTCCTGATATATGAGTATATATTAAATCAGTATGAAGTATAGATCGCGACCTTCAAATTAATTTCATCAATTTGTAGTCAAATTCCTCTAACCTGAACTATCAAGCAATGGAACCAACAACCAGAGATGATCCAAGGAACTCTTTAACTTCTTGCACTCGTATTGTCTACCTCACAGTTTCACGCAGGGGAACCATTATTCATTCCAATGATACTTTTCATAGCCACCGAGTGTGAAGCGCTTCCTATTTTCCAGCTCCTGCAGGCCAATCTCGGACCCAAAGTGGCGTATGAACTACTAAACAACATGTTCTGAATTATTCAATGGCTGAATTCTCAAGTTATCGTGGCCACACTCACTAGACCAACTCCAACTGTGGTTTTTCAAATTGGTTTGCCAGCTTGGCATTGTATTGAAAATGTCAACAAAATGTTATTTCAGCTGTAGAACGTTACAAACATAAGCAACGATTTTTCATTTGGTTTATTATTAAAATAATTATTTAGCTTTATTTTATTTTTTTAACTTTTTTATTTATTATAAATATAGGTTTGTTGGAAAAAATTTATATCATTCCTATTTTCTCTCCTTTTTATTTCTATTTTCTCTCCTTTTTATTTGCTCTTTAATTTCAAATTTCTCTCTCACAATTTCATCATTTTTTTCATAAATATTTAATTTTTTTCCAACAATTTCTTCTCATTATCATTTTATTTCAAATTTTCATCTTTTTATTTCAAATTACATTTGTTTAGGCCAAATTTTCATCTTTTTATTTCAAATTACATTTGTTTATGTGATGTTATTTATTTTTATTGTTTTTAATTATGTGATGCTATTTATTTTTATTGTTTTTAATTATGTGACATGTATTTAAATTTAACTTTAATTATTATTTTCAATTTTATGTTTAATTTTAATTTTATGTTTAATTTGTATTTATATTAATTAAAATTTAAATATTTAAATTATAATTTTAAATAAAATAAATTTAATATAAATAATATATTTTAAATAAAGTGGTGGGATCCAATATGAGTTCTTTGAAGTTGCACCATTGGAGTAAAAATTAAATGAGTTGCTTTAAAAGAGTGGGTCCCACAAAAAACCCAAAAATGGGTTGCACCATTGGAGGTGCTCTAAGATCAAATAGAGCTTGCAAAATGCCATTCCAAAGAACAATACCATGTAGGAAGCAGCCTCGCATAAGGTAATTGGACCGAGGAACGATGGGGAAGAAGTCCATAAATCCTCAGACCATTAAGGACACAAACATCGTATGTCTTTGCCTGGCTCTGAAGGGATAAGGAGGCAACCACAACCTTCTTGAAACATGTTCATCGGCGATACGAGAACAGAAGGATATAGATACTTTAACTCAACCAAGGGAAAAGAGTCATCTGATTGCTCATATCTTAGATGAAAGATTTCATAATCCCTATAAAAGCCCCTGAAACTCCAAGACTATAATGCAAACGAAGACCCTGAATAGCATGTTGAACGTGTGGGCGGTCAGCTAGACTATTACCATGAGAACAAGGACGTAAAATGAAAACTCTTTGCTACTTTGGTCGGGTCTGCTCTAGCTTAGTTTAAATCTCTCCCTGGTAGGAGCATAGATTTGTAGTATAAGTTCTGCGAAACTTTTACTGCCCACTTTATTGTCAGGAAAAGGCAACCAACAAATATGGTCACCCTTACATCAGTTATTAAAGGCAAAAAGAAACTCTACAAGCGTACATAAATCGCTTCACCAAGGTAGTAGCCAATAGAGGAAGTCAGGGAATGAGGATTCCCAGATCCAATCGAGCAGCAAAATAATATTATGGGAAATCTAGATAATAGCATGAGTTAAGGCCCCGCTCAAAATTTGACTCATACACTCCTTTAAACACTTTTTAGGAAAGAACTTTGAGAGAGTGCGTCAACACAAAATTTAAAGAAGTCAAGATAAGAAACTCATATCCGGTAAAAGAATCTGCTCAAGATAGTGAGAAAGTTAGAAGAGTTTCAAACGAAATATTCCCTTTGGTGATAACAACGACTATAGCCAATTTGGATGTATCTCGAGTCCTGATTGATGGTGGTAGCTGTTGCAATATCATGTATATTGATATCTTTGAGAAAATGAGATTGAAGAAAGTAAAGTTATTATCACATGAAGGATTAGACTTACAAGCCTTCAAAGGCATTGTAACCCGATTCTTTGCAAGTGTTTACAATTGTATTTTAGGTAGATTCGTTGCATCGACGTTGGACGTAATAGCTTCCACTGTCCATTTAAAGTTGAAGTACCATAATGTATACAACGAGCCAATCACCATCAATGCTTACTTGACAAGATCTAAGAGCATTTACCAAGCTTTACAACATGATCAGAAGGAAGGTGAGGCCACAATTATGGAAATCAATGTGTCCTCATTGGCTAAGCATCTCAATGCCATGAACATTCATCCTCTAACCAAGAAAGAATTACGATATAAGTTGATGAGCAAAAGTGGATAACTAAAAAAAAGTAGGTGGCGAGACCACCTGTTCATCTTATATTTTGAATTCCCTTTTATTGTAATAAAAAGGTATGACGTGTATAATATAATACAACCATTGAAGTAAAGAAATAATTTCTCACAAATATTTCCCCTTCTTATCATGAAAGATAGCGATGAGTCCAGGGTATGACTTGAAGGATCAAAGCCCCACCATATAGACTCGAGGAAATGTCATAAGCCCCAAAGGTGTATGAGTAAAGCGATTAAAACCCCATGACCTCGACATATGAACACAACGAACACACTCTAAAGTGACAAATAATTAGCCTACACCCTTTTGGTAGATACCTACTATAGAGGTTATGGTAGGTCAATCAATATGTCAACCTCGAACCAGGTTTATACATATGGGTATGGGACACAGCATCGACCCTTGGTCGGGAATTGTCCCTATATACGTCCATTATAATACGAGCATGAAACTTGGAGGAAAGACATGACCTCTATAAGCAATGGAACGAATTTACAAAAATAGTACAAAATAAAATATATTTACATATACATTATAGGAGAAGACCCACATATTCCAGACTTATATTTGCTTGTGTTAAAAAAAACTACTAGTAATTCAAAGGAACCATTTTTTTGTCTTTAATAATTTGGTTAAGGAAGATTTGAGATCGAGAGATGAGATCGATTGGATAAAATTATTCCACGTGTTTAAGTGAATTCTCAAAAGCATCTTCGGCCACGAAAAAATCATCTTTTAATAATTTGGAAAAATTCTCACAAAGAGAAAGATTTTCCTTACGTATGTTGTTAAGGTCAACCTTAGTCTTACGTTGAGTATCTTAAGACTCCTTCAAAGCCTTTTCTAAATTCTCATTCGGCTTTGGGTCAACTCTCAAATATTAGTCCTGCATCGGTCTGAGCCTCATCCTTATCAACTACCATACGAATTGATTGCTTCACCTTCTCAACCAAAGCCCATGTGTACCTGAATGGATCTAAAGCAGTTTTATGGCAAGAAACGGGTTGGAAACGTCTTGGACCTCTTCTAGACATTTTTTCCTCTCAAGGTTAAGGTCACCAACCTTCTTTTTCAACCTTTACCTCTCACGACAAAAACAATAAGGCACAAAAACCTCTTCCGACCAACAACACCAAAGGCTAAAATAGAAAAATCCTGACGAACATGATAAGCCAACTCAGCCAATTCACTTTGATGAACAACGTCAAAAAGTCTTAAAAAGTAAGAATAATCTTCGTTAGAAATCGAAAAACAAAATTTACCACTCGTCTACGACCCTAGACGCGACAATAACACGAGATTGGTATTCATCTGTTTAAAAGACGATCCATCCACAAAAATAGATAGTTGAAGACGCTTGAGAGAAAGACCCTATTCGCAAACTTCTTATGGCTCAGGGATGAGAGACAACCTTTCCTCATTCCCCTGACCAAGAAAAAGGTAATTTTCTTCTAAGAGGACACGAGTAAGGGGGCTTGGAGTCACATCCATAGCACCATGAGAGACTATCTAGGTAACTTGCCCAATGATCGGACCAGACGACATACCCGAATAAGAAACTCCACCGGTTTAGGGCATGCTGGGAATGCCAGACAAAGTAAGGATGACTCTAATCTTTTTATTTAGCCACTGCATGACATCCTCGTGCTTCAATATGTTTGAAAAGGGGAAAAATATTAGTAAATACTAAATAAAGGAAAAGAGAAGTATGAAATTCAAAACCTGCCTACCAAATATTTTCTTCCTCTCATCTTTAAACTTGGCATCCAAATTATGGTGGGTTTGAATGGAATTTTTTCAATCGAGTCTTAGAAGTCAGATTAGACGGGATAACCCCACCTACATAACCACGTTCTTTGGGGAAAAAAAACTAACTGGCCTTTCAGGTATAACTCCTCTTTAGACAAATCTTTTTCTCTGAACAATACATCTCGGCTCTAATAAAGAAATGACTCTAAGTCCAATATATGCGAAAAATATATGTGCACGAAGATGAGACATCGAGATCTACTTTACAAATATTTGAATGGGCTTCTCAATTGAGGAGGGCACCGAGAAAAAAACACTCCTTAAAGTTTTTCACACTATCAGAATAAGGCTCAAAACATTTGGTACTTTGCCACATGGAAATCATGCCAGAACCATCTTCGGATTTATAACCACTTTGCACTTTGAAGATATGAAAGAACAA